TATATATATATATATATATATATATATATATATATATATATATATATATATATATATATATATATATATATATATATATATATATATAAAGATAATATGAACCTGGTTTACTTCATAAGATTTATTCACTACAAACTTGTTTCGTATGACAAGCATTGCTTGTCATACGAAACAAGTTTGTATAGTGAATAAATCTTATGAAGTAAATCAGGTTCATATTATCTTTATCTTTATTAGCTCTATACTTCGGTATATCGAGCACTCTACTCATATATGATTCTAAATACATATTTGGTATATATATATATATATATATATATATATATATATATATATATATATATATATATATATATATATATATATATATATATATATATATATATTGCAGAAAAAGTCTTCAGTTCAGTGTTGGCTGATGTTACAACTTAATAGTTCTGAATAGCAAGCTACTTTGCCTTTGGCCATTTAAGGAGACGCTTTAATATGTCAGTTATAACTGTACAATACTGACCGGAATACAAACTCGAATTCGAAGCCAAAAGTTAAGTTTGCGTCAAATTAAACACTGCCTAAATACGGCAATAAGATGAGAGTTGGCATGCAGTCACAAATTGTCACAAGGACCATTTCAAGCTCTAGATTTAGGCCCCGTTTACATGAGACCGGGACGAAGTCAAACCGGAATGAAAATTGAAATTATCAACACGTTTACATGAGAACGGTACGAAAATCACAAAATTTTCACTTTATTCCACTTGCCAGCAATTTTCTTTTTTAGATGGCTTTTGTTTGCATGTTTTGTTCCTAGCTGGTTACAGCCGAGACCGGTCTGAAATGTCTTTGTGTTTACATTCATCCCAGTCTGAATTCATGCCGGTCTGAAGTCAGTCGGCTCGGTCTTGAGACCGGTCCGGCTGAGTCATTTTCGTCCCGATCTCATGTAAACATCTAGTATAAATAATACTATGACCGAAACGAAATGGTCGGCCGGGGCGCTTTCCATTAACACGGCCAGACCGGTCAGAACGCCGGCGGGTCAAATTGTTGAATGGATTATTCCAATGGAATACAAAACATTTGTGCTTCCGACCTATCCTATCTGACCGGAAAATTTAGATAACATTAGTCATTAGAATGAGGTCCATTTTCGCTAGATATTTGAGAAACATAGACCAGATCTTTCCATCGATACAGAGAAAAGAATTTTGGTCTAACCGGTCAGGCCATTAAATGGAAAGCGCCCCCGATTTCACTTCGTTCCCCTCTCATGTAAACGGAGCCTAAGTTAACAAAATTATTTAAAGTTTAATGAGTGTTCCAACTATGTTTCAAATATGGTATTAGAACACACGATATATTGGAAAAGTATTAAGAACAGCTAAGATCGCGTGACTGCTAACTCTCATGCATTAAGTACGTGACGAAGCCACTATACATTGCAAAGTAAAAGCATTGCATACATTCTGCCGTTGCTCAGTTTTGCCAAGAAGGAAATTTTACTAAAATGGTATGAATAAAACTAGCTTGATTATGCATTTATCATTTTGTATTCCATATAAGAACATTGGCAGCGTAATATATACAGACGAGCGAATATCCAGCAATAAAGAGAGCAAATTTGGGTGTTGCAGCACAATGGTTAAAGTGCATGTGACTCTTGCATGTGACTCTGTAACCGGGCTTCTGGAAATAATTGTTGCAATATTCTGTTTTTTTACAAATTACGAATTTGCCTTTGAAGAGCGTTTCCGGTGCGACCCACCGAACACGACAGAAGCCGGTTCCGGTTCCTCTGGGCACAAATAAAGACATATAAAGTACTTTTTTGTCAGTCAAGGGTTTTCTGCGGTAGTGATGTTTTAGGTTTTTGGCTTTTTGCACAAATTTTAGAAACCACATTTGGCTTAGCGCCTGCGCAATTTCAATTATCCCAAAGTGGCGTTGCCAACTTCCGGTTTGAGATCATATTCAACTTTCAAAATGGCGGTGAAATGAGTGAGAGTTTATTTGTGAAATATGATCATAAACGATTCGGACTCTTTTTCTTGGAAACAAAACTTGAAACTAGATATGCCGCGTGTTTATTCCCTTCTGCTTTCGTCTCGCGAAAAAGATCCGTGATAGAACTTGTTGTTTAGAACTTTAATAGAACTAAAACAATTACAATGGGCGAATTTTCGATTGGCCTTCCAGAAATCGGACATCATCTAGGATTCGTCGTTGTACATGGGCAGAGATCCAAGGGATTTCAGGCTTTATTACACGGCATTGCGGCTGCAAAGACCAAGCATGTAAGTATATGAGTAAATTTATTTGATTAATTTAAATGGCGTTCCGGAATTTACAAAACCATTTTAAATCGTTTCTTAAATATACTGTAGGAAGAAGATAAAATTGTGAGGAAAGAACTTGTGAGTCTCAAGGACCATCTTAGATCTTCAAAATTAACAGCTGTAAGTTCAATGTCGATACACAACAAAATGGCATATAAACTGGAAAATATGATAGACATATTATTATTATTGATTATTATTATATGAATATTTATTCAGGATAAACTCATCTGAGTATTATAGAGCTCCGTTATCAGTGAGGTTCTGTATTAAACCTATTGAGCTATACTAATTAAGTTAAATTACAACTAGATTAATTAAGTTAAATTACAACTAATTATAATTATATTAAAACTAAAGATGAGGTAATTAATTGGCCATTTTGACATAATATGTAATCAGCCTATTATTGCATGATAATCAGCGAGATGGTCAGTTGTAAGAAGATTACTATAACTTTTACATTCTGACAAAATTGGGTGGAATGACATACAAATGTGGACAGATATATATGGATAGGCAATCCTATACTTACTGTATGTTATATTATATTGTTATTTAGAAGCAGATCAGAGAGTTATTGATTCGATTAATTTACTGTGAAATGCTCGGCCATGATGCTTCATTTGGTTATATCAACGCGATCAAATATGCGGAACAATCTGCGCTCTTAGACAAGAAAACTGGTATGTAACAAAATAAACCAATGTAGCTTTTTTTAAATGATGACCATGCAAAAGTAATCCAGTATTTTAATTTTATTAGGTTATCTGGCTGCTTCAATATTTCTGAGTAGAAATCACAATCTTGTTTGCCTACTAATAAATACAATACAAAAGGTGTGTTACTGTAGCTGTCTTTGTATTAATTGAATCATCTTTGCATCGGTGCTTCTACCATTTGCATGCGACCATGAACTGTGAAGGTTTTCCCACATTTGTGTATGTTTCAAATGTACATGTTTGCTGTTACTTTTATATGTATTTGTCAGTCTCCCCCTTGTTGTTTTATAATCTATAGAAGGTAGGTTTTAGATCAAATATAGCATTTTTTATCAGTTTTACACTGAATCTTAAATATTATATTTCATAATATCTGTACAAGTGAAATATATATACTCCACATTTCGAATTTTTTATGAACTCCACTTCTTTATTAGAAAGTTGTCAGGGTGGGTTAGGATAAACATAGTTAGGAAAGTAATATCACAATTGTTCTAAAGATAATTAGTTTAGGCAGCTAAGTAGGTAATACGTAAGCATAATTATACTTGATGTAATCGGTCACTGAAAAGCCCCATTGGGGAGTGAGCTGAATAATATATGTATTTATAATATAACATTTGTAAGTTAAATGTATATTAGATACTATTGCCTATTTGCCTGGCATTAGATAGGCTGTGTGGCAGATGGTCAGCTGGCCTGCCTTTTGGGTACATTGCAGCTGAATGGTTTAATGAAAAATTCCTGCAGCATATTGGATTATACTAAACGTGTGCTTTTTTCCCATCAATCAGTAGTATGGTGTACCTCTTTTCAGGACTTGAAGAGCACAAATGTTGTCGCAAAAAGCACTGTGTTAAATGTCATTTGCAACTTAGTGGATGCTGAAAAGATTCCTCCCCTACTTCCCTTCATTGTTGCAGCTTTGAAAGATAAAAGGTACTAGATGTTCACAATACAGTAATATTTATTCTTCATACTGTGAGCAACGGATTGAGCAAAATGTCGCAAATGCAAAATGTGTATAAATGTAAAGTGTGGACTGGTGCATTGTTTAGTACAATCAAATGTACCTTTTGCCTCGGTGACTGTGTAATATACAGTTATCTGATTATAATTTTGCCTTAATCACACGTGAGACGAGTGCCTCCTGTCCCAAACAATACAATCCAGTTTGCTTCTGTAGGAATACCAGAAGAAAAAGGGTTTTTTACTGCTACAGTAGATGTCTAGGGAGAACCAGCTATTCCAATAGAATAAAGTCAGTTTATTTTTATAGGTTCCCTCCTGCAGTAACACTGGAACAATAAACAATGACAGTTATAGCCGTTATCCAATATGAATAAAGTTACAGTAGTTCAGTTTAGATTACCTCTTGTATACACGTAAAAACACACAAGTTGTAACAAACCTGCGGCAAACTTGTAGCAATGCTGTTCCAACCAACAACTTGTCAACAGGATGTGTTCGCACTGCTTGTTCCCAGCTTGTCAACGGCTTGTTGACAACTTGCTACAAGGTTGTTGAGTTCAACAGACTTGTTACAAGTTGTTCCAACAACTTGTTATCGTCATGCAATTCAACAATTTGTCAACAAGTTGTGAGTGACAACTTCGTAGCAACTTGATAAAATAACTTACAGCATTGTTACAACCTGTTGACAAGCGTGCTACAAGCCTGTTGCGAACACATCTTGTTGACAAGTTGCGAGATTTTTACATGTGTAGTAGAACTACCCAATACAAATAAAACAACGATGATAAGTTTTATTGTGACATAATGAGAGAGAACTAAATGTTTTTTTCTCAGAGTGGAAATCAGAAAGAAGGCGTTGATAACATTAAAACACGCTCACCAACTAAGCGAAGATTTAATCACCAACATTGATGAGGAACTTCGTTCAGCAATATCAGATCGAGATCCTATTGTTGTTTCTGCTGCTCTTCAATTTTTCCACACTCTTATTAAGGTAATTAAGCTTTTAAACAGTGGTTGTTATCTTTATTTTCCCCTGTTCCATATATGTTCAATCTACAGGGTGTATCGAAATAAACGCAATTCATCTTTTATGCTTAATAACTTTCGAAATACTATTTCTAGTTAAACGCTTTTAGGCTTACTTCAAGGCATGTTCTTTTCTCTTTCAAACAAACTATTATCCTTGTCTCCAATGCTAGTAATAATTGCACAGGAAAAGATTTAGCAAAACCTATCATTTTTAGTTGCTGTTTAATTATGCAAGTTTACTATGTTATTGTTTAGTCGGTTTAAATGTTAGAATTTTCTTCTTTAAACTTTAATGTTGTCGTCACTACATCTGGAAAACCACGTAAGAACAAATTAAAAGTATTTAAAAGAGACCAGGTTGTTTGAAAATCCTAAACGAATGCTAAAAATCGTCAAACATTCTGGTGTCTGAGCCAGAGTGTCATCGAATTGCGATGTAATGTAAACTGAAATTATAGCAAGTTGATGTCAGTCAGCTTAGATGGTCCAAGCCAAAATTATATCGCATTTGAAGTTTCAAACTGAGTTAAAAATAGTGGAAGAAAAGCCGTAATTATACTTATTGTTACAGTCCATTTAATAAAATGCAACATTTTTTTGTTTTAATGAAAAATCAGTTATTTTCATGAGAACGATTTGTTATTCCATCTCAATTTTGTTAATCTCCAATCGCAATAACGTAAAGTATTATTACCCGCGAACCAATGAGTAAAATTTAAGAAACAACCCACTGTTAGAAAGCTGAATGGCCACGCTTTAAAATGAATGTAAACTTTAACGTTTTCGTCTATTATTTGTTTAGCAATTTACATTTCAATCGAGGATTGCGCTTTTTTTTATACACCCTGTATATTTTTATGCCCTGGACAGAACTTACATGATGTGTCATTAACATGCGATCACTCAATGAACGAATAGCAAGAACATATAATGTAATAGTACACTATAAGCACGACAGATCTTAGTAAGCAAGACAGTTCTTTGGAGGGTATAGTAGCTCTGTTGGAGAGGATGCATGCCACGTTTAGCAAGGCTGTAACCACGAACTCAAGTCAATTAGGCTGTCGAGCATGGGCGTACCGGGCGGGGGGCGGAGGGGGCGGCAGCCCCCCCCCCCCCCAAACAAAGCCAGTCGGCAATATTCGCTTCACAGTCGTAAGGCAATATTGGTTATTATAAAATAAATGGGACAAATTCTGTCAATTTTGTGGAAATTCTGTCAATTTTGTGGGAAATATGCTATTTGTATTAGAATTTTCGTAATCACTCCCCCTTCCCCCCGTCGACAACAATTGTGGAAAGTTTTTTCGGAAATTTTTTTTTGACAACTCGGGCAGAGCAACTCGGGCAGAGCAACTAGGGCACAATACGAAAAAGTTGGACAAATTTCTTTCCGCCCCCCTAATTTTTTCCTTCCCGAACGCCGATGCCAGTGTCGAGTACAGTAGGTACTCAAGCTACCTGGAGGTATGCCCGCGGGCGCGGCAGGTAAGCATAACGAAAAAATATCAAACAGGACAACAATTGGCGTAAACGACAGCGCACTTCCTCACGAGACGTGACAACAAAAACCACAATAAGTACGCAGACTACGATAACAAATTAGGCGACGGCACATAATAAACTACCCAGGGATGCGTCTGGATTGTCGGCCAAAACAACAATACATGACAATACACCAAATAACGATACACTGTCAGGCACCTCTGGTCAGCAGCGAGCAGGAAACGCTGACACTACCCACACCTCCGCAGGTTTGCAAAAACTGTAAGCAGCCCATAGAAGCCAACATAAGCGGGCAACACGCCCTGCAATCCAGTTAGCACCAGCAGCTGCCGCCCCCCCCCCCCCAATAAAAACAAGTGCGGACAAAGGGGGGTTGGTTGGGTGGGAACGTTGCGAACGTGAATGTCTGCAAGGATGCTCTAACGAGAAGGGACCTTGTTCAAACCAGTTATAATCTTCGCAATACTTATACTGACCTTACCCTTGCTAAGCCAAAACGAGAATTTCTAAAAAAAGCTTTAAGTATAGCGGAGCTAAATTGTGGAATAGTCTTCCTTCTGATGCGAAGCTAGCGCAATCAATTTATTCTTTTAAAAACTGCCTGAAAGATTCATGCTAACATCTTCTAATATACTGTATATGCATGCTTTAGAAATATGGGTCACACCGTTTGGAACTTAATTCTTGTATTGTAAATAGTTGTATATAATTCTTTATTCTTTTCTATATCATATTTGTAATTTTTAATAGTAACAGACGTCCCTCGTGAAAATCATCAAATCGTTGACGAGGCTAACGTCTTTAAATAAAGTTTACATACATACATACATACATACATACATACCTGTGAGCTCCCCGGCTTAAATAAACTCGGTAAGCCTGCAATAACTAATATGAATATGTAAACAACACGCACACATTCGTTCTCGAAGTTAATTATTTTTATTGCATAAAATCATTTAAATAGCGAGCTAACTGCATGATAATATTTTCAATTGATTATTTAGAAAAATCTGTCAAAATACCGGGGCTACCTGAAAGTATTTCTTCAAGTCCTAACGCAAGTTGTCGAGGGCAAACTGTCAGAATATAATTTCCATGGAGTACAAGCGCCTTGGATTCAGATTAAATTGCTAAAGATCCTTGCCTTACTGGGACAGCAGAATAAAAGGTGCCCATTATTTTTATATTTTCAGTTTGAAAATTAAATTTTGAAGTCATCTTAGATATATAAGCTCTCGTGTTTCTTCCAGTTGTAGCGAGAGCATGAGCGCAACGTTATTAAACATGATGAAAAGCTTGCCAACTGATTGTAACATTGGCTGTGGTAAGTGTGGATATGTACCTTATGTAGTCGTACAGGCATGCATTTGTCTCATTTCGTTTTCGCTTCCTTCGCTTGAGGACTGTTTTCTTTTGTTCCTACCGAGGGTAATGTTAAAAGGGACGAGAGGTAGTTTAGGAGATGGTTACAAAATTGAAATAAGAGTTTGCGTTAGTATTAGGGTTAGTGTGTGGCTTAGGTGTGAGGTGATGGTTAGGGTAAGGTTTAGTATAATTGTTGCTGGTTGTTGATTGTTTTGGGTAAAGACCTACCTAAAATGATCATGTTTTGTGATTGGCTTTCAGAAACAAATCAGAAACAAAAATTATCATTGTTCTTGTTCTTTGGAAAGACGATTTCTATAGTTTTATTGTCTTTCATTGTTATAATCAACCAACCACGAGCCTCCGCCTGGATAGTATAGATAGATGATGACCCTTGAAAACCTGCCTCTAGTCCATCCCCTTAAGCCACAACCCTATCAAGAGGTTTTGTCCACTACTTTGGTTTCCCTAAAACCCTAACACTGTTTCAGCCACACTGGATCAATAAGGGTTATATCTTACCGCATGGACCTCTAGGAAGAAGAGTTTAGAACTCTGGTAGACCTATCCAGTATAAATAAAGTTAGTTTAGTTTAGGTTTCCTCCTGTAGCAACGCTGGATCAATAAGAGATGATCCTTACTGGACCTCTAGGAAGAACAGTTTAGAACTGATAGAACTATCCAGTATAAATAAAGTTAGTTTAGTTTAGGTTTCCTCCTGTAGCAACGCTGGATCAATGAGAGATGATCCTTACTGGACCTCTAGGAAGAACAGTGTAGAACTCTGATAGACCTATCCAGTATAAATCAAGTTAGTTTAGTTTAGGTTTCCTCCTGTAGCAACGCTGGATCAATGAGAGATGATCCTTACTGGACCTCTAGGAAGAACAGTTTAGAACTGATAGAACTATCCAGTATAAATCAAGTTAGTTTAGTTTAGGTTTCCTCCTGTAGCAACGCTGGATCAAAAAGGAATGTTCCACCCTAAGGCTAAGTACTATTTTTCTCTCTAGCTGTAATGTTTGAATGTATTCGAACAACCACAACGATCTATCCTCTCAAAACCTTACTGGATCTTGCTGCCAAGAAGACTACGTTGTTTTTAACATCAAATTCGACCGATCTGAAATGTTTAGGTAACTAAAATAGCTTGCTCTAAGTTTACTCAGATTGTCTGGGAGGTTCACATGCAAAATACTCTGTGAGATCATGTCAAAGTTTCGTTATGTTTTATCACGCCTGTCAAAAATGTATGCAAAAGCGCCGATATGCTTCAACTTCTTTAATTTTCATCCTGTTTCTACTAAATTTCCCACGAACATAGAACATATATCATTCTTGCAAATCGTATATTTTTTGGAATTGCTACTTTTTGGCGGGTAAATTACGTCACAAACTTGACGCCCAAAAATTAAAAATAAGCTGTTGGTGATTCTGCAATATTATTTTGTATGATAATTACCAAATAAGAAAACTTGTTTTGCTAAGGAAATCGCGACCCCTTGGGCTTTGGCCGGGGCTAGAAAGAGCTAGGTTGGGAGTGTACACCCCTCGCCTTCATACAGTCTAGGATTCGTGTTCATAAGAATTTTGTCATGTGTTTCTTCCCCACAGGAATCACTGCAATGACGTGGTTGGTGGAAGTCAACACTAGTTATGCAGGAGATGAGAAACTACAGCAAGTTATCATTAAATGTCTTGATGATGATGATAAGACGATTGGGAAAAAGGTGAGAGTGCATGAATATTGTTGTTTTTCATATATGGACCATTTAGTGATAAGATTTGGCCATCTTGAACAGAATCTTAACACGACCTATTGAACACCACTAGTGACATAGACAGGCCTTAAAATATCTCTTACAGGGCCGTCTGACAAAATGTCCGGTGACGTTGAGTTTGGGTCGGACATATGTCCGATGACCTTCAGTTCAGTTTTGACTCGGAAATAAATCTGAATGACACAAATGAATAAACGGTAAATGTTGTCAAGATATTAAATAATTTGTTTATTTCATACTTATTTCCAAGCCAAAATTAACTTGCTTTCCAGAACAGCAGTATTAAAAAAGACTTCGACAACTTAAGCCCGTTTTCCACTTCACCATTTCGCTCGCTGCCCCGCACTCGATTACGTTAAAACAACATTTCCAGTTGACCTTTTATACAATAGTACTCTGATTTTCCATTTAACATACAAGCTAGGGTACATTTTGATTTACGTCGGGCAAAGCTACAGTTCGGTCGGACAAACAAGAAACCTCAGTTTCACTTTGATCGGACAGAATGTCCGGTGGTTTCCATTCTACGTCGGACAATTTCACGAATGGGTCGGACAATGTCCGTGGCCGACCGATATTTTAAGGCCTGGTCACATAGATGAAAAGCGCACTATTCTTCTAACAGCCATCACCGTGTATTTCTTTATTTTTAACTTCGTTACCTTTAGATATTGGAATTGCTGTACAAGATTACAAACAGTGAGAATATTTGTGTGATATGTAAGAGATTGTTGGACTATATCAGATCTACAACAGAACAGTCGATAAGGAACGATGTGGCGAAGAATTTAGCCCAACTTGCAAATCAGTATCCTTTAGTAAATGTTACAAATTTGTATATATACGACCCTGAAAAATTTTGTGTACAGTACTGCCAGGGCGCCGGAAAGTGGATAATTGGGAGGGGGGGGGGGGCAGATATTCATATATTCATGTTCTGCATCATTTATTTCCTTTGAAAGCGATTGTTTTTACAGTCTGTGAACATGAATATATGAATATCTGCCCCACCAATTATCGACTTTCCGGCGCCCCTGAGTACTGCCGTGTTCTAGGGAAACAGTCCCCAGTAAGGTCTAGGTTCCTACCTGGTCGTAAGGGATATTTCTAAGTCTGTCGGAAAGGTAATGTTATCTTTAATAAATTCATTAATACGTTGAATTCTGATATACGTAACTCTTCATCTTTATTTAGATTTCAGTTAAAATGTTAAAATTGTTTCTTTTTTCTCACTACATATAATCTCAATAATTATTTATTTCAAATACGCCATGTGACGCTTTTCTTGTAAAATTTGTATTTAATATAGTATAACTAGTCTCCTTCGCAGCCGCTCTCTAGTATAACATGAGGTAGCCCGAATTCCTATGAGTCTCTTGGTTTCTATTTGGGCTTCCTCACCACCTTTTGTTCTAATAACATTTTGTTATTATACATTTCCTTTTATATTAACTATTACTTATTTGTATTGTGGTAAACCAAATCAATAATTTGAAGCTGTGCGCCGGAGCCGGAGTGCCGGAGCTCTGGCATATTTTGCCGGTGCCGGAGCCGGAGTTGGAAAACTCCGGCAAAAACTCCGGCAGACAAAATTATGAAAAATTATTTCATATTTCAACGAACATTTGGCATTAAATGGGAAAATCAAGTTGTTGTTTACTAATATATTACTATTTATATGTTGCTTTACTATATACTACTATGTGGTTTACTATTAATAGTGTTGTAAAAAGGTTTTACTTTTAAAAAAAGATAAATTCTGAAATTACACTGAAATACTTTCGCCTGCTTCCACTTTTAAATATGGAATTTCCTTAAAAATTTTCTTGCCGGACCCGGAGCCAGAGTTTTGACTGCCGGAGCCGGTGCCGGAGCTAAAATAACCGGAGTTTGCACAGCTCTACTTGAATCGTTCATCTTATGGTTCCAGGGGCTGCCAAAGACCCCAAATACTCGACAGCCAATTATTAATGTCTAATAAGCAAGAATGCAGACAACCCTGTCAATTTTGAAGGAAACGTTGTCAAGGGTATGAATATATTCAACATGATATAATCTTGGAGGGTTTGTGACAGTGTAGGTAGTGGCAATAATAACAAACTTTCGTTGGTAGGGATGCATCTACCTGAAAAATATATGGAGAATTTCGACGTTTTGAGCGGAGGCTCCTTTGTCGGGAAGACGAGTGGCCTTCGCTCGAAACGTCAAATTTCGCTTTGGTCATTTTCAGGTAGTTGCATCCCCACCAACGAGTATATTCAACGGTCGTTGCATCCTTCACTCTATCCAGATATGCTCCAAACATCACGTGGTATGTGGACACGATAAATGACGTCATCCAGGCGGCTGACAGTCCTGTTCAACCTGACGTCATGCACAGCCTTATTAAGGTGGTAGCTGCAGGTAAGACGACGACCACTCCTCTGCACGCCTCAAATTCACTGAACGTCTGGAAGACTAACATTTAATTTTACTATCAAGGTGAAAGTGATGATCAAAGAATCATAGCGACTCAATATCTGGAGTTGATAAAGAAAGCAACTTTACCTGATAGTCTCATTCAGATAGCTTGTTGGGTGAGAAAACCTCTGTTTACTTTATAAGTCCCGGTCAAACGAGGGTAAGAGTTCACAAGAGGGTAAGAGTTCACAAGAGTTTTAACTCTCGCTCGCGTTCGCTCTACTCTCATCAACTTTGAACTGAAAAGTTGAGAAAACTCTCATGATAAATTCTCGCTTCTCAACTCTCATGCAACTGTTGTTCGCGTTTGATCAAGCAATGAACGTTGAGAAAACTCTCATGATAAACTCGCGCTTCTCAACTCTCATGCAACTCTTGTTCTCGTTTGATCAAGCAATGAAAGTTGAGAGAACTCTCATGATAAACTTTCACTTATCAACTCTTCGTCAACTCTCATTCTCGTTTGACCAGGAATTTAAACTGTTGCTTAAGTAAAGGAGAAGTGAAAGTATAATTTTTCTAGTATTTAGCTACTGTATGTTAATGTTATCTACGTGCTGCATATGTTCAATACGATTCACTATTTAGGTTCTTGGAGAGTATGGTATTTTAATTCAAGGTGGCAGTTCTCTTGACATCGTTTCCTCACAATTGATAGCTCTCCTTGACCGAAAATTCGAAGGTGCGTTGAGTTATTACATGATACTGTAACTATATTACTGCCTACAATAGCCGCCCCAACGTTTGAGATTTCTACCCATGTTATAGTTGTTAAATTGTTTGAGTAACCCATTAAACCGCAATACTCTGTCTTTACAGATACCACAACACACGGCTGGATTATGACTGCCATAGCAAAGTTAACTCGACATATTGGTGTGTATTCACCGGAAGCGAACAGAATTATGGATCGTTATAGGACTGGATTTCCTGCCGAGTTGAGACAGGTTTGTGTTGGGAAACTGAGCCATAGGATGGTTGTACACTAGTCAGTAGGTTTCCAAGCGTTATAAGGCAAGTGGTCAGAAGAGCAGAAATTCAGAAAAAAAAGACAGCAATGTTGACACTTATATAGGAGACAAAAAAATTAAACCACATGTCTTAACTTCGTTTATTAGTCATCAAGTGAACTGAAAAAAAAATTGTTCCAACTGTGGGCAATAGTTGTCAAAATGCGAATTGTTGCTTCAGTCTTGTTTTTTTCTGTAGAGGTGTCACGAAATCAACGTTTTAGCATCGGATATATCGTTGATGAAAAATGCGCTCCCATCCGCTTCTAGTGAAGAAGACATTAAGGTACCCCCTTTACAGCGATATTTTTAACGCTCATATTTTGCCATCTTTCGAGTTTTTCGGTGTTGTTGCATGACGAGATAGCTGTGCTGATTTACTTTTTGTTTTCCTTATGAGTTACTGATGGGCTCAAGAATTTATGATAAATTATGTATTTACGTTTCATTCAAGGTGTGTTCGTCCCTATCATTTCTGGATAACTTTGTAGCAAAGGCGTTGAGGGCTGGTGCCCTGACTTATCAACAAAATTTTAGTAATAATCAAGAAACGTCCGAAACAAAAAAAGGTTCGTTGTCAGGAGTTGAAATTTAAAAAAACATTTTAGTCGCTCAAATGCATGGCTATCAGTGAATAAGATCTGGTCGCCAAATTTAATATCAGGTCTCCCTAAAGCAATGTCTTATGAAGTATTTTCTTTATATATATAGATAACATAAAAAACCCAGTTATGTTGGCAAATTGTATGCAAAAGTAGAATGAAATGCATGATCACTGAGATATTTTAGGACCTCAGAATTCTAGTTTGACTCTACCTCACCGCTGTCCTCGTGTGAAAACAATGTGAGACCTCTTATACAGATGCTGTAGTTGAGAACAGCCAGAACAGACACAGTTATTCAGTATAAATTATTGACTCGAAAATATTTCATCTCAAGGCTTTCAAAAGACGGCGGCCATCAGAGCTTCGGCGGGATCCACGAGGTTCACCGCTGGTTACTTTGTTTAGTACTTGAAATATCAATTCTGCTCTCCTTCCTCCACCCTGAGCTTTCAAAATCTGGTCTAGTTTATAATAGCTTGCACTTCTGTCTAGTTCATATCAATAACTTTAAGACTTCCTTTATAATGCTGGGAGGAAGACGTCATTTGGAAAATATCAGTTAGTCGTAATGCACTGCATCTTAAAGTATTCTGAACTTCTTCACTCCTTATAGCACCGCATGAGTTGCGTTTTGAACCTTACGAAGACCCATTCAGTCGTCAACTTGGGTTGGCCAAAGAAACTCTTGAACAATTAAAGGAGACACCATCTCACGTCTCTCCAGAGAACACGACTACGTCATATTTAGAAGGGAATGTAGTACAATCACCAACTAGAAACGAGCCAGCGTCTCTGCCTACAGCAAGAACTGTATGGGGACCGTCCGGATATACTGGAAACAAAATAAGAAAGGCTTCTGAAGGTCCAGATAAGGTTGTCCAGTCAAGTTCTGGGCATTCCTCTAGTGGGGATTTGCCTGTGGAGAGGCCTAGTCAAAAGTGCAAGGAAACCACTGGACGTTTTCAGGTAAGAAGGCACAAGATAAAGCCTGCCGCACACGAGAGCTATCTGCTGAGCAAAAAGTTACTCGTGCCTGTTAGCTCAGCTGATAGCTCACCGATCAAACATGTTTGATACGTGAGAAAAGGTTGCATGAGGAAAAAAACTCAGTAAAATGTACCCGCACACGGTGAGCTATCGGCTGAGCTAACAGGCACGAGTAACTTTTTGCTCAGCAGATAGCTCTCGTGTGCGGCAGGCTTAAGGGCAGGTACAAAGGTTACCTATCTAACTAGTTACCTGCTAACCTAGCTACCTACCTTCTACCTACCTATACCTACCTACCTACCTACCTACCTACCTCCTACCTACCTACCTACCTACCTACCTACCTACCTACCTACAGTACCTACCTACCTACCTACAGTACCTACCTACCTACCTACAGTACCTACCTACTAGAGGTGTGCATCGGATCGCATTGGACGTTTATAATCCGACAATTGGCTATGTCTTAAATCCAATCCAGTCCGAAGTTGTCTAGTCCGAATCCGATCCGAGTTTTGATAAAGAATTTCGATCCGATCCGAAGAATCCTTTAATAAAATAAATTTCTCATTCAAGTGGAAATATTGAACCAAATAAATATAAAAGCAAGAAATACATGTCAAGAAGCTGACAAAGTGACGTCCAATTGAAGTATCAAACGAATAATGCAGCGACAACCGCGTTGTCGTGGATAATTAATTCATTTTATTACGAATATCGAAGTCCGATCCGACTACGAAACAACTTTGTCAATCCGATCCAATCCGAAATGAATATTTTTGTTCCGAAATCCGAACGAATCCGATCGGATTCGGATCGGATTTGCACACCTCTACAACCTACCTACCTACCCACCTACCTGCCCAACTACTGTACATCTACCTGTGAGCCCTACTTACCTATACCTACTGTACCTACACCTACTGTACCTACACTGTTACCAACCTACTTGGATAGCCATAATTTACCATCAATTTTATACTTTTCAGGAAACAAAAGAGAACGAAAGATCACCTCCATCTAACAGCAATGTCGATGAATCTCCGAACATCGCCTTATTTGCTGGTATTAAACCTAAATCAAAAACAGACACGTCGAAAAAGATCGAAACAAATACGACCTATGACTCGCAAACTGAAGACACAAGTCCTTCAGAGGATTTATTTTATTCTGGTACTGGTGTTTCACTCGAACAACGTTTCGTAAAGAAACTAGATTTGTCTGAGCAAAATGTAGAACCTGAAGTTGATGCAGATGAAGGCAGACAGTCTCGCGCGCCGGACTTGGAAAGAGAATTCATGGCCACAAATCAAACAAAAAACACTTCTAGCCACAATACCGATTTACTTCTTGATTCCATTGGGAATGACAATTTCCAAGAATGCCTTCAACCTTTACCAGTTGTATATCTTGGACTTTTAAAAACTACCTCTCATATTGAGAGAAAAGGCCAAATTCCTAACGAAGATATTGTAGTTGCTCCCTTATTGGATACTGACAAAAAAATAAGTCGTAGTGAGGACTCTGTGAGACAAGGTTCCATACTAGATGACGACATTGAAATTGGTGGACTTTCTGAAGCAGGAAATTTCTTGAAACAAGATTCCGCATGCGGCGAAGATAGTCCTAAAAAAGATGGTGACTACAAGGAACTATGCATCGACAGTAACCTAAGATTGGTCACGTGTTCTGTGCACAACCAATCAGAACTTATCATGTTGTTGAAGTTGACCAATCACAATCAAAGCCGTGCCACAATTGAAGGAATATCTTTGAAAATTGAACCGCCGTCAAATCTCATCGCCGACCCGTCACGTACGGAATTTACTGTGGAGAAATTGTCCTTTTTAGAAACTGTAAGTATTATGTTGCTAAATGCTTTTGGGTAGAGAATTTGGAAGAATAGACCTCGGTATAATCATAGCCTATCGAATTGAAGATAGCTGTGAAACTCATTAGAATAACAACATAATTTATTATCTATGTTAGTCAACGTTTATTTATAAATCTGGTCCTTCACCGTCACGTGTGTATTGTATTCTTCCATCAAAAATCCACCAATAGCAATTTCCAATTTCTCTATTGTTCGAGTCACGGATAGGTAACTTTCCTAAAGCATTGCTGTTGGTTAGTTGGGAAAAAATACAATACACACGTGACGGTGAAGGACCAGATTTATGAATAAACGTTGACTATATATGACATAGATAATGAGTTATATTGTTATTCTAATGAGTTTTAAGTCATCTTCCCTGGTTTCATTAAATGTAAATTGCATGCATGTAGAAGAGTGAGGAGATTTCGACGTATCTTATTAATAAAGAATGAAATCCCAGAAATACTTGTGAATTATATTTTCCTCTTCATTTTACTGTAAAATGAATTCGTAATTTCAGTTATATTTTCATTTATTCCACGTACAGATGACCGAAGAGGTCTCCATGAAATACCAATACCCGGCGACACGCATGTCTTTCAAAGGAACCCTAAGATATTCTGTATCGAAAAACTCAAAAGTTTTAAACTTCGAGCAAGAAGTACCCGCCAGACACCTGTTCAGACCACTGACAATGTCGACGGAACAATTTGGTGAGAAGTGGACATCAACCAGCTGTGACGTACGTAAACACGTCGCTATGACGTCACGGAGGTCTTGTGAAGAGGTTGTGAACAGTGTTGCAAAGTACATACGTTTCGAAGCAGTCGATATTAAAGGTATGTGTTTTGTGAAAAATAGTGGCTAAAAACATCACTGGCTAAAAGGCATGCCGAAAACAGGCATACTTTATAGCTACAAACCTTGGCTATAAGGTATGCCGAAATCATGGATAATAAAATAAATGGATTGGAAACTTCTGACGTCATTGACTGCATCCTTGTTGAAAAACGTGACGTCACGCATATTGCGAATGTTACCAAAGTTCTCGGCATATTTGTTGTTTTGCTATATTTTCCACTTTAAAAGGGTGATCTTGAAGCGTAAACTGGTCTAATTGTTTTAAAAACATGCATTTGTAGCTACGAAATTGGCGTCACAAATTTTAACGAAATTTGCGATGTATTTTTCACTGTTTAGTGCTTGAAATATTTGCTAAAATTGACTGGGAATACTTAGAGTTTTCATCGTAGAATGGCGTGGTTACATTTATTTGCTCTTTGACTAAAATGTTTAGCTGTATTATTGCTAAACATGCCTTTTTTGAGAATTTGATTTTCAACTAGGTTGAGGCATGCAACCACGCCATCAATCCCAGTAAAAACATTAGGTCACGTCAGCTAGTTTCCTATCCATTTATTTTATTATCCATGCCGAAATCAAGCGTACTTTATATAGCCACGTTAATAAAATATCCTACTACTCCATGGTATGCTGAATTTTTACATAACTATCTTCCATGAACCGCTATAGTAGTATAGTTCATACCCCCAGGGACATCAGAGATACACAGATGCTGTAAAACCGTGGCTATAATTGACCGGTAGACTTTATAGCCACGGTAATAAAGTAACCGAACACAGCATGTATACTGCATTTTTATGTACCTATTGGCCATAAACTGCTTTTGGGTAGAGAATAAAGTATGCCTGTTTTCGGCATGCCTTTTAGCCAGTGGTGATTGGCTAAAAGGCATGCCGAAAACAGGCATACTTTATAGCTACAAACCTTGGCTATAAGGTATGCCGAAATCAAGCGTACTTTATATAGCCACGTTAATAAAATATCCTACTACTCCATGGTATGCTGAATTTTTACATAAGGCCAATGAAAATTGATATCATGTTTCTCGTCCCTGCCCGCATGGGTTTTATCTGCCGCACGAAAATTTTTCATTCATTATTTTTGAAAAATAGGCTTAATAAAACACCAAATTGATCTCCAGATCGAAGTCTTATTGCTGCATTCCGCAAGCGCAACTCAAATTGTATCTTTCTAAAGACATTACTCGCCAGAATGCCTCTATTTTTCATGTCAGCCCTGGTATGCGTAGAAATATACTGTAGATAGGACGTATTGAATTAAAATGAATTATACACTGATTTACTTCAGATTTTTATGGGCGAAGGAAATTATTGACAAGCAGAATTCACAAAAAATAATGAAAAATGAAAAATGAAAAAATCCCGCTCCAAATTTTTGAAAATTGTGGATGAGAAACATGATTTCAATTTTCATTGGCCTAACTATCTTCGATGAACCGCTATAGTAGTATAGTTCATACCCCCAGGGACATCAGAGATACACAGATGCTGTAAAACCGTGGCTATAATTGACCGGTAGACTTTATAGCCACGGTAATAAAGTAACCGAACACAGCATGTATACTGCATTTTTATGTACCTATTGGCCATAAACTGCTCTAGTTCATAACTTCATACAGTACCTTCGGGATACAGCTGAGCCTGTGGTATCGCCCAAGAAACTACAACGTACAGTACTTTATTATTTTACGCTGTCTAATGCCAGACAATTTTTCAACCTAAAAACACCCTGTTTAGAAATTTTCTGGTTAATATAGAATTAACACTGTTTGGGATTATCACTTTTAAACAGAAATCTTTTAACCCGTGTACTCGTCATGATTCATCTACAAAATCCTTGAGGTACAATGTATCATATATTTGATAATCCTTGTATTGTATCCCTGACAGGTTCAGAAGCTATTTTGGCAGGATCAATCCTGGGCAATGATGTATGCCTGTTACATGTAAATGTTGCAAACACGGATGTCGAACTGTGGATAAAATCGTCCGGTAAAAAACTATCTGAAATGGTAATGAAGGAATGTTTGTCCGCTTGTGACAGACTTAATTAAAACTGTCTAAACAGTCTAATATATGCTTAGGATTGGAAATCCAGGCTGTCAGCCCATATTTCTTATTAATTTAACCCATTGAGTGCTAGCATTTTCCCCTTGACATGTAAAATCATCTGCCATTAGACAAAGTAAAATTATAAAGTAGGGTGTCTCAGGGTGCATTGCCACTTAACCCTTTAAGTGGCAATGCACCCTACTTTAGTATTTACTCTGTCTACCGCCGGACGATTTTACTCGTCCAGTGGAGAGTGCTGCCACTCAATGGGTTAAAGACTTAACAGGATGCATGGGCAGTTTGTTTGGTTAACCCATTGAGTAGCAACACTCTCCACTTGATGAGTAAAATCGTCCGGCGGTACACAGAGTAAAATAATAAAGTAGGGCATTTCAAGGTGAATTGCCACTTAAAGAATAAACCCATCATGTTGCAGTGCGTACTACTTTGTAATTAGCAATTATATTAACTGATCCTAGTTTCCTACAAAAAATGCCACTCCAAAACGATTAAATCTTTTGAATATATTTTGCTTTAATTTTTGTATAATTATATTCGTGGACTTTTAAATGTTTTACATATATTGTACATTTTCGTGAAATTTTAAATGTTTTACCTATTATTTTCATTCGAACATCTCTAACAATTAAAGTATCAATTTAAGCTTTATTTACACACAATATCAATTTGTTAGGTCCATATTAAAGTCCATAGTTCAAAAACTACTTAAGGGCAGAGGGTTTTGGGTGAAGCTCAGGGCAGCAAGAAAGGGTGCCAACTGTACTACTATAACTAGTTTCCCTAGTTGTAGCCATGTTATACAGCAAATCGTCTAAAGGCCCATTTACACGATACGACTAGTCATATACGACCGTCATTCTGGTGTATGAAACCACCACTATTCCTGTTCATCACTTTATGGCAAAATTTGACATCTTTACAGCATTTGTTTGAGTGCAAAAACCAGGACAATTATAATCGTATATCACCAGTCGTATTGTTTATATGTTAATAAACACTCCAGGGACCCATTTATTGTAGTCATGTCAGGGGGAGGGGAAGGGTGTGTTACTGAAGAGGGTGTCTTTGATACAGGGGGTATCAGGATACAGAAAATTTCAAGTCCTTACTACAGAGATCCGTATTTGGGGGAGGAGCTTAATTTAATAAAGGATTTACAGCATCTCAAAACATAAACATTGAAATCAGCTGATCAAGTCTCCTCATAATGCAAACACAGTATTTCTAGAACCATATGTCGTCAGCATCTGTGACTTTCTTCCCCAAGAGCTCTTCCTCAAACTGGCAAAGCTGTCGAAGAAACGATCGATTGGGCTTCACTGCCTGTCGTTTGGACTTCATGAAATCGTACGCTTCTTTCAAGCTCCAATGTCGAGACTCCATTAGATAACACAGGGACATTGTCGAACTACGACTCATGCCCAGGTTACAATGAACCAAGACACAGCCATCCTCGTCGAAAGCGTTCCTAATAAAGTCACAACACCTTCGAAAGTACAGCTTCAAGCAAGACGAATTCAGGTCTTCGACATCAATGCTGAGGTAAGTAATCTCCTCTGGAAATGCATTCCGATGCTCGGTGCAAACATTAACAATGTGGGTAACTTTTAAATTCTTAACAACCGTCTTGTTTGTTGCCTGGTCCCCACGGCCTTGGTAGAGCTTGCCCTCGACGATTTCGGATGGGTAGGCCTGCAGATATTTCTTGCGTTCTTGCTCATTTGTAATGTGAATACTCGAGCATAGAAATGGATACTGTTTGTTGAATGCTTCGAAGCCACCTTTCAGTATGCTAGGCTGGATCCCGAATTCTAGTAGTTCGTGATAGAGCTTGAGCTCTCGGCATGACGAGTCGTCCATATTGCACGAGCCTTCGCCATAGATGACGACCATCGTGAAGTCTCGTAAACTCGTCCGTCCACCAATGTAGCCATAGTTGAAGAGCAACACCAGCTCCGTATAAATGACATCGGAGGGTTGGGCGGTGACAATATGCGACATGTCATATTCGGCACGACTTCGGATGTCCAAGATTAGGATATAGAAAGGATCCATTATATAAGCATTTACCGTACCATCGTTAAGGCAATTGTACAACTCGTGGACCGTCATTAGGTCTAATTCTTCGCCAGTTCGTAAAGAAATCACTTCAGACGTGCTCAGGTGCTCTCGTCTGTGTGTGGACACCGAAACAGCATCCCCCAAATTCTGATTATTATCCTCAATATTTTCTATATAAACTTCTTGATTTTTGTCGGAGGAATGAGTACCAAACTGCTTCTCAAAATACGCTGGAATTGTGGAATCTCTTGTATAGTGACACAGCTTGTCCCCCACTACAGCATTTCCCCCAGAAGTTGAGTCATTTTTATTATGCACGGTCGTGTCTTGTAATATTTCGCCACTCGGTTGCGAGTGTTTGCTATTTCGCCTCAATGTACAAGAAATTGTCTTAGCATCTAGTCGTTCAACCGATAAATGCTTGCTGTGATTATTAAACGAATTTCCATCGGTCTGGGAGGAATCGTTCGACCCTTGCCTTCCCACATACCTTTGTTGATTCGCTATGTCGCCAGTACTTCTGCTTCGGTCGTGAATTCGTTTCACTCTCGAGTACGAGCTGCCCATATTATAAATTAACAAACAAACTCGCAAATATAAACAAGATTCCTTCGCAGAGTAAACCGTGGCGTTCAAGTCATTGTACGTTAAATGTTTCCTTTCTAATGCCGAAACAATCTTTCAATATTTATACTCCAGACGCAACTGTGTTTGGTCGAGAATTAAGTCAGATTGAGTCGCTCAACCATGTCCGTTTCTTGCTCGGATATTTGTGTCGTTTCCGTTTCGTGATGTCATGCGCGAATACCCTCCCCGAGATTGCATCCGAAAAATCTTGAAAAACAAACGAAGATATAAAAGATATCGGAGAGCAAAGTTTGCCTTGGAAATTTTTACTTTGTTCGCTTAATAAAACTTGACAAATAAACGTAAAATTAAACTTTATTAAAAAACTTATTAAAATTACTGAGGAAAATGTTTTTATGCAATTCGAAATCCATCTTAAATCACGGTCAGTTTAATGTCTTTTTCGTATCATTTTATGAGATGTTTACATTAATAGCGACTTTCACGTAAATTGTGACTTTTCAGAGAAAATTATAGTTTTTCTGGAACAAATTATGAAAAGCCCGCGCTTTTGCGCCAAAGTAGAAAAACATTTAATTCATACGTTTTAAACTTTTTATATACATAAATATCGGATTTATCGCATGATTTTAATTATCAGTCAATATTCCACACCTTAGTAGCCTTCGTAAACATTGAAATAAAATATCATTGGATTAAAACTTATAAAAAATCTATAAAACAAAGACATAATAGTTGCACTACATGACGTATCCACATGGTGTTGTATATTTTCAGTTTCGCCATTTTGTTTTAAAGTCGCAAAATGGGAAAACATTTCAAGAATTTTTTGATAAAAAACAACGGTTTATTTTACAAATGAAAGCTGCAGGAATACGTCCAGTGGTTCCTTAAACGATGTACCTTGATATTTATCTTTTAAAACTTATATAAAATGGGAAATTATCCAGATACGAAGCGAAAACATGAGGATTCTACGCTTGATGAAAAACAAGAACAAAGTGTCGTAGAATTGCCCAAAAAGTATGTACATTTTGTGAGATTTATGCTATCTATTTTGTTGTAAATAATACTATATCTTTAAGGAAAGTGGCATTACCTGATTTGGGCGAAATATTTTGAGTTGAAGTGGTCTTTAGCAGCTAAATTTTACACTACACGACTCGGTCACTGATGACCGAATATTTACAGTAGCATTGTGACATCGAGGTGTTAATTTCTCAGATTTCACATATACAGGGGTTTATATAATAGTGTTGGGTTTGGTGTTAGCTCAGTGGTTGTTGAAATCATGTTTTCAATATATTTATCAACTGTGGCATTGCAGATTGTTAAAGTGACTGTGTTATTGTAAAGTTCATTTAGCAATGGTTCAATGACCAATATATCCCGAGGCTATTATTCAATATTAACATTTTAACACCACTGAGCTATATATATATATATATATATATATATATATATATATATATATATATATATATATATATATATATATATATATATATATATATATATATATATATATAGAATTTCGCTTACCTCAAAATTCCGCAACAGTCTGTTTCATCAGTAAAGAAGATACAGACTGTTGCGGAATTGAAACAGACTGTTGCGGAATTTTGAGGTAAGCGAAATTCTACATTTGCTCTATCTTTATGATATTGAGCACTCTTTGCGTTTCGTATACACAAACCTACTCGTATATATATATATATGTATATATATATATATATATATATATATATATATATATATATATATATATATATATATATATATATATATATATATATATATCTGGAGCAAGAACTTCAGTCATTCGGCCTATGAGAAAAGTGAAGCGAAGATGGCGAAAATTGACGTCCAATAGCTCTGAAGGTCATCAACAGTTTTAATGCCATTTTCCCCAGATAATTCCAATGGATTTTTCTAATGGACTGTATCGCTAAGCAAGTTATCAGTTCATAAAACCATAGTGTTATTCTTTAAATCGATGTCAAAATACGAAGTTTTGGCATACTCCTCGCCAGCTTTGTTTTAACCACGTAGGCAAAAACAAAGGGAGCCGGAACTGATGCAAACTCCCTGAATCTGTGCAATTGGGGAGCATTCATTTTTTAGCTGGGGGGGGTGGGCCGGAAGAACTGATGTCTAATTCCATGCTAAAACTTGGAACCCCTGAGAGAAAAGTTGATAAAAAATTATGACCCCCAATTTTTTTTCATGAAAAATTTTTTGACCCCTCATCCTAACTATTATTAATCCACACGGTGTCGTTTCCGTAGCGTTTCAGGGCCGTAGGAAGCTTTTTTATAGGGGAGGGGTCTCGAGTCTCTGAAATGGGGGGTCTAGAGTCTCTGAAATGCCATTTCCTGGACTTGGGGAAGTTTGACAGAATTCTGATGGTCAGAAAACAGCATTTTAGTATGTCGAAATTTACAATTTGGTAGTGCTAAATGGGCAAAGGCGTATTTAATTAACTATATATTGGATAAAAGGCTAAAAGCTTTGATCGGACAAAAGGTAAAATTTTGCCAGACAATGTTCGATGACCAGCATTAATTTGCAGGCCTGATTATATCACTCACATTTATGTACGATATAAAGGCTTTGTGTATTATGGAAGATTGTTGATAATGATGTTTTGTTTTAAATTTAGGAAGAAACAGAGAACAACATCAGATTATATATATCACACACTCTTTGTAAATGGACAGGACAGTGACGTTACACTTGTGGCCCTTGGTAAGCTTATCATTTTGATGACTCAATCTGAGTCGGTCAGCTGGTGGGCGACTCAAAATCTCCTCCAAATTCTTAAGAGTATTCTTAGAAAATAAAATTATCAATAATTTGACAGGTCTACTAAACTATTGCCTGATGGATTCTAATGAAATGAATTCCCATTGCTTGTACAGGAATTCTCCAACCAAAATATCTAATACATTGGTTTGATTCTCATTTTAGATATAGAATGGAAACTGCATAAGTTATACCTTTGTCAGGTATGAAGTAAATAACGTAAATTGGTGGTAGCCAATATTCTATTGTAGGGATCCACCAGTTATCATATTTAGATGTTGAAGTAGGAATTTCACAAATTTTCAAACTTTTGTGCTTACTTACAAATGGTCAGGGCTCAAAATAACGGCCAGTCAACGGACAATGACCGGCCAAAAATGCCTCTTGGCCAGTCACTTTTTACCTCACCGGTCATTTTGACCAGCCACATTTTCATCCTGAATTCAAACATGAAACTATCATGTGTCGAAACAAATTTCTAATAGTTTGTTTCACTGTTAGTGTAAGCATATCAATGACCGGTCAAAAACAGATTTTGACTGAGGACCTATTGTATCTCCCGTTATTTTTGAGCCCTGTAAATGGTAGACATGAGTATCAAAGCTTTCGTGTCTACTACTGCTCACAGAAAGTATATACATAACTTTTTATGCAATTTTTTTCATTTGTTTGTGTTTTATTCTCTAGTCCAATTATTTCAAGAGTATGTTTACTGGAACATGGAAGGAATCTCAGCAAAGCCTTATCAAGCTTGAAATTCCTGATGAAAATATTGATGAGGAAGGTATATGTTCTGTGCTAAATTTCTTGTGCATTACCGTAATTAAAGTCAGTGATGAGAAGTTCCTTTGTGTAGTTGTATAAGTTGCTTTCAGTCATATGGGAACGATTCAATTAGGTTTTACAATTAACTTTAGGTTTTTCTGAGAATGTACAGTAGCAACATTGTCTGGACCGATAGCAATATCTGGACGTAGCAGTATTGTCTGGACCTCTAATGAGAGCAGTTTAGAACTGACAGAGCTATCCATTATTCAGGTAGTTTAGTTCAGGCTTCCTCTTCTTGTAACACTGGACCAACAAAGGCCGGCCATTCCTGGACCTGTAGATAGAACACTGTCAGATAAGAATCTGTAGAGTCACCCATGCACTGCAAATAAAATTAGCTAAATATTACTTTAGTTTATGATCACATACTTAGCCTTGGCTAATAAAAGCCTCATTTTCTGGATTGAGATATCATCTGTATAGCCCTAGATCTTGTTACCGGGGTACCGATGACAAGCCTTAAAATATTGGTCGGTCACGGACATTGTCCGACCCATTCGTGAAATTGTCATTCGGACTTATTTCCGAGTCAAAACTGAACTGAAGGTCATCGGACATATGTCTGACCCAAACTCAACGTCACCGGACATTTTGTCAGACGGCCCTGGAAAAGGCCCTATGTCTGGAGTTGCTTGTAACTCCACACAAAGGGCCTTCGCTCGAGACGTCCAAATTCTCCTTATATTTTTCAGGTAGTTGCATGGGCGTACGGGCCTAATCTTGTTTGGGGGGGGGGCAAATTAAACATTAATATTTCCCCCAAAAATTGGGGGGGGGGGGATGAGGTCACCAAAAAATTTTTCCTGGACATGCCAAAAACCTGTCTGCAAACATAAAACATATGAAAATTTCACATAATTTTTGCAAATATACAAAAGTTCACATAATTTTCGCAAATATACAAAAAAAATTTCAGGACATAAATTTTTATGTTTTGCCCGACCGTAAAAATTGGGGGGGGGGCACATGCCCCCTGTGCCCCCCCGGCCCATACGCCTATGGGTAGTTGCATCCCTACCAACGAAAACTTGTTCATATTCTTGACACTGCCACAGACATAATTATATCAAGGTCTTTTATATTCACTGATGTATTAACTTAACGAGCGAAAACGAGATGCTATAGCTAAAGCTAGGTACTTTCCACAAGGGTGTATTATAGAAGCAAATTCTGTTTTTGTAGCTTTACATACAGCATTTGGTTCATTTTATTGTGACGAAGTAGAAATTTCATCTTGTAATGTTGTCCCACTTATGGCTGTCGCATGTATGTTTCAGCTGGTAAGTTTCTCGTATTTTCTACATGAGCAAAACTGCCATAAATATACTGTACACGCTAGGATCAGAATCAGTTTTATTTGCACTTATTTCTAGCTTACAAAATATGAATTACTTATATACCATAAATATTTACATTATAGTTATATACAATAAGAGTATCTATTTTACAAATGAAGAGCGCGTAGTAGCCAAAGGGAAAAGGAGCAAAAGCTTCCGAGTTGCCAATACAGTATGTACCCAGGGTCTTAGCTAGAGGGCCGTGTTGGCCGGGTTATCACGGCCAAAAAAGGAAAAACTCGGCTAGATAAAATGAACGCGGCTTCATTATTTATATAAGGCCGTGAGGTTCATAAAATAAGATGGTGCTACTTACAACAGACAGAATTTCTTTCTATTTACGTCATAAGAAAGTTTGTAAAATCTATTGTTGTTGTTGAAATTGGCAAAAGTGATCCGTGATGTTTTACTGTTTTGATGGATAGTAGGAACCGTTCAGGTGTTAAAGTGGTTTTAAATACCCACAAGAGTTGCTGAAATAACTTAATATTTTAATGTCAGTGCGCAATATGAGTATATGCTCGCCTTGTATTTGGTTGCAAAGCATAGAACAACCACAGGCATTGTCCGTTGTTGTAGAACCGTGAATTTGGCTATTCAAGGTAATTGACATGTGCACACCCTGGTCATTTAGAAACACGACCAAGATCTAAAATCCTAGCTAAGTCCCTGTATGAGGTTAACAGGAAAAATGAACGCAAAATAAGTAAAAGTAGCCTGGTTGGATTCAACCACGTTTTGGTGTTTTTGAATTAGCCTTTCTCACGAAGGCCAAAATCCGCCATTTTGAGGGGTATTTTCTGCCCTCGTGAAAGATTCTAGACAATTTAAAGAGGGTGAAAAGCGGCTCTTAAAAGTTGTAACTGTAAATTTACCATTATACTGTACAAACAACTATAATACTAAAAAGTTGTATCTCGTGGTGCGGAGACTCTCAAACGTTGAAGAGGCAGTACCCCAAGAATGGGGGTAAGACAGGCTTTTAGCCAGAAGGGCGTCCTGGGACGCCCCTAGAACGAAAAATGGACGCCTTTAGACGCCCAAATTCTGGGGGGAAAGAGAGATTATTATCAATTGTTTCCCTAAGTATATTGATATATCTGAAACGAAATAGCTTCAATTCTCATTATTATTATACATTAGACAGTTTGATCAATTTGATGGTATACCTGGCTGAATGAGTAAAGAAGCATAGCGGCACAAACTCACAAAGCCAAGTGTGTTTGACAAATTTCGAACGAGCTTGGAACAGATACTGACATGAAGTAACGTAAACTTCAAAGGATTTCCAGAGGAACGTTTTCTCGAAACCCCCTCCCCTCCCTTTACTGTAGATGTATCGTACCAAAATTGGACGCCCTCTTTTAGGACCCTGGCTAAAAGCCTGGGGTAAAATACTAAAATTGGCTGTGAGAAAGGCTAATTTTACATTTTTTATATTGTCTAGGACGGTTTACTTGCCAATTGTGCTGAAATGATGATTGAGAATTTGGGGAGCGAGACGGTATGTCGATACTATACGGCTGCTATACAGTACGGTCAACAATCTGTGGAGACTAAATGTCTTGAATGGCTGGAAAGAAGGCTTACGTCACTGGAAAGAAGGCTTACATCAAGCGCCATTGTTGAACTGTTCAGGAATATCAGGTAGTTAATATCAAATCAAATTTATTTTTAGCCATAAAGAAATAATATCACACAAAAGAAAGAATAAATATACATTATAGTTGGCAATGGAGCCCAATAGAAACAATAAGGCTTATTAATTTTGGGCTACCTTAATCGTACTATTCATATAAGTGGAATAATTCGTGCACAATTGGAGACAAATCCGAATTCATTAGTGTAATTACATATTAAGCATCTACCTATAGTGACCGTTAATTTATATAATAAATTGGAACTAGTTGTTCAAAGTTAAAAAAAAAAAGATATTACGTGTAATGTCAGAAATTAAAAAAGGAGAGATTTAACAAGGGTGGTATATTTATAGGTATAATGAACACTATTATAGAAATTAGGTGTTAGGGATTTAGGGGATAATATGTTAAAGATTAAAAAGATATTCTTTAAGTTTTTTCCGAAAACTAAATTAATTCATTTCAATTAAAAAAAAAACACAATAAAAACCAATACCAGCGAGCATTTTCGAAAAGTATAAGACAAAACACAATCGGAAGATTAGTATCTTGTACTCAAGATATAAGTCAAAGCATGACGACGGATGAGTTTGTGATATTTCGATAACTACAGTAGTTAATGATTTTGAAAATCTTGGACATCCATTACCTCGACCAATTCATTTCATCAAGTTCCTCGAGATATTCATACACTTCCTGTGAAAGAGCCAATTCCAAGTATTTGATTATTTCTGGTCACTTCCTTTCTATTTATGATTGGTTAGTTGCACAAACAACAAAGGTGATTGGTGCATTCAAACTATTCAACAGGAACTTTACAATTATACTAGGAAGTGTATGAATATCTCGAGGAACTTGATCAAATGAATTGGTCAGCCCGAGGTAATGTATTGAATTAATATTTGAGGAACACTTCAATTGGAACGACAGTAACAAAAATAGACAAGATTTTGCCGTTGTCTGTTCAGTGATAGATACACAGTATGACATTATAATGTGGAAAGAACAAATCATCACGAGGCGATGATTTACAACAAAATATTGGCATTTACTCATGTGAATAAATCTGTTTTTAGCGTTGACCTGATGGAGAAGGTGATCAAATCACCAAACCTCTTTGTGATGCAGATAGAGGTGGACACCTACAACCTCGCCAAGATGTGGATGTTTTTGAAACTGAATAGTTCTTGGGAGGGAAGGAAGAAAGACTTGCTATCTGATGCAAATGCCCACTTTCAGGCACGGACTGGGGACAGGGCATTCCTCGAGACCGATGAAGGGTCAAAATATACCTGCGTGTTTCAGGCTGTCAGGTTACAGAACGTGATATGTGACGTAAAAGCTGTCAGACAATTAGATCAAGACAAGATTATACCTAACGGTAAGGATTTTTCGTCGTCGTTTCATGTTATATACACACTGAACAACATGAGCTCCACCTTTGAATTTACTATATGATTAATTTCTAAACACGTCCGAATTTATCATTATGATAAATTCGCGGCACATTTTGAACTTATCAATAGAGTTAATCATAAAAGCACAAGCATTAGACAAGACTTCTTGTTATAAATGTAATGGCACTAAATTTTTGTTAAAAATAAATGGCACTAGATTTTCAAGATTTTCAAAAAATAGTTTTTAAAAAAGTTTTTAAAAAGTTTTAAAAGAGTTTTAAAAAGAAAAAAAAGTTTAAAAAGTTAGATTTTCAAAAAAGTTAAAAAAGCTAGGGTTAGGGGTTAGTGGTTAGGGTTGGGATTAGTGTTAGGTGCCGCGAATTTATTCAAAATGTGCCGCGAATTTATCATAATACTGATAATAGAGAGGTTAAGATACCCCGGTTTCGGTGTACGTGTACGGGTAGCATGATTTTGGTTAGCAATATTTTCGTCGATGTCTGTACCTTTACTCGTAATTAAGGTGCACATTTTTCGCATTATATATATCATTGTCTATTGCAAGAAAACAGAAAAAGTATGATCAAATTACAGACATCAGTAAAACAAGATGACACTACTCGTACCTGTACACCGAAAGCGGGGTATCTTAACCTCTCTAATGATAAATTTGGACGTGTTTAATATAGTAAATTCAAAGGTCGAGCTCATGCTGACACTGAAGCTCCGGTCAAACGCAGGGCCTTTTTTAAGGATTTTCCCGTGGGGGGGGGGGGCATTTTTTGAAAAGGGACTTTTCTGTGAGATAATATATTAGAGGGGGATAGCAATGGCTGAAGGCTACGTGTGTCGCCAATATACCACGCATGAATGGGGGGTGGTCTGGGGGAGTACTCCCCTGGGGGAGTACTCCCCCAGAAAATTTTTGAAATTTGAATCCCGGAAATGTCATTTCCTGCATTCTGAGCATCCAAATTTGCTCCAAAATTTATGCTAACTATACTTGTATTTGAAATAAAAGATGGAAAAAATGCACAAAAAGTAAAAAGAATATTAACTGTAATTTATCATTACTTATTAGAGGGATAATCCCCAGAAAATTTTTGAAATTTGAAACCTGGAAATGCTATTTCCTGCATTCTGAGCATCCAAAAAATAAAAAATTATTAACAATAATTTATCATTACTTAGTGGTAGAAAAAAGTAACAATTTAAATCGATTTTGTTAAACAAGGACAAAGGATAAAGCCTAAAACTTACTTTCCGTTTATGTATTTGTTAATCTTCGCTGGTTTGTTTCTATAATTTTAGGGAAAAGGGACTTTTCCTGGGGGGGCAAAATGTGATTTCGTGGGGGGGCGCAAGGGGGGACTGGGGGGGCATTTGCCCCCCCAGCTTGTATGTTAAAAAAGGCCCTG